TCTCCATAACCAAGAATGTTTTACCAATTCTTTTGTCCACACACACGCACGCACACACATATATACATCCTGTTTATTTCATGCATGATTGTGTAGCTGATGATTGCTAAATATAGTTGAAATATGGTCTGAACTTTATTAGAAGAGAGAATTTTGGCTATTCAGTGCAAACCTGAGAACCAACCCTGGAAAAAAGAGTTAATTCTGATACCATGTAATAGAAGATGGCTAATCAACCCTGTATTTCATGAACTGTGATTAGAGATATCCTTTATTTTATGGAATAGTAATCAATCCCTTATAATCTGGAGATTATCTTCCAAAAGCGTCTAACTCTCCAATAACCGTTTTGTAATTTTGTATGTACTGGTTAAATAATATGCTTGAATGATAGGTTTAATGATACGATGACTTTGCTTTCTGAAGTGATGCATAAGGTCGTTAGTCTGATCTGTTTTACATGCTGCGATTAGATGGATAATCCTTTGAAATTAGTGATTAGTGATTTTTAATAGGGTTCTTAATATTTTTCTAATGAGAAGCCTAATCAGATTACGAAGTGAAGAAAACAAGTCCGATAAAGATTATCAATTGTCTTTCTTGTTGTCTGCTTATGCATTACCATTTTATGGGATGGGGCTTTTGCTAATCATTTCTCACTTCCATTTATTAGATAATTAATTTTATAATAAGGACATTAATTTGATTTGTTTTCATCAACAACTTTTCAAGTATAAAACATTCAGTTATTTATATCTGTAATTCCAATGATGTGTGGACCAATACAACAGTACTTCTTGCTTGCTGAAGTGTTGAGAACTGTGATGAGATATTTATTTGGTATTTTTTATTTACAGATCTAATTTTGTGTACTCATAAGAACATTCGAGTCTACATTCAATTTATGTTAGCATTTAGATCTCTGACCTTTAATTCCTGTCATATTTGAGTTTTGTTTTTGGTAAATTGGTCAGTTATCAAGTGTCTTGCACATGAAACTGCTAGGACCCTGTATCAAAGGCAGCTTCCAACAAGCACAAGAACAACAAATGTGAGAGCAAGATGACTGGAATGAAGAGTTTTTATATTCATGGTGACATGAGAACTGGTTATATTCATGGTGACATGAGTACTGGAAATGCAATTAGATTGTAGTAAAATAACACTGTAAACCTACAAAATTATACTCAGCAACAGAAAATAGAAAATAGGTAATTTGACATTCGAGAGGCCAATCTCTCCCCTAGACTTTTCTGTATCTCGGCATGCTCTCTTCTCCCTCTGCTTCCTGCATTTATAATGTGTTCTGTAACAAACCCTTCAACCATTTCTGTTTGCTCCCATGTGTTTGTTGAATTTCCCCTTTGGCAACTTCCTTTCCTGCCCTCGGCCTTTTTCTTGCATATGGTACACTGAGTTGGACAGTGTCCTTTCAGAAATATTGTTCCAAAGACATTAGGTAATTTAATAAAGATAAAAGGAAAAAATAGGTCATCCTTTTCGTTGCTTTGCTGGTTTGATACTGCATGTAATATATCCTTGTTGGTTGCATGGATTGCTGGGAATTATGATGAGGCACTTGTTGAAAATTTGTACCTATACTGATACTCAAAAGAGGCATTTGGATCGTGATTTAATTTTCTTGGTATTTGAATTTCTAACCTCCAATTTTATTAGCATTCGAGGGTCTCACTGACAAATTTAAAAAAGAAAAAAAGGAATTGTCCTTAGCTGATCATGTTCTACCCAGGAATAAACAACTTGGGGATCCCTATTCAATAGTTTTCATTTTTCTTTTGTCATTTGAGTACTTAACCTTCAAATTTTATCAACAGATTCTTATCGAAATTGTTGTTAACTGATCATTTGTCTTGCACGCGACACTGTTCACAAGGCATAATGAGTGGAGCAATCCTGGCCCTTGCTTGACACTTGACAGGTTTCTACCATCTACATCCTTCTAGCTTTAATTGCTGGGAACTATGATGATGATACATATTTTTGGTTTATATATGGTCATCAGATAAAGATTTTATACCCATATGAATGCATCAGATGGTATAAAATCTATTTAATATTAATTAATAAATTTAATCGTGTACGCTTAAATGAAACTTTCTCATGAAAAAACAAACAGAAAAAATGACAGGTTTTGGCTCTTATTTTAGTCTCTAAGCTTTATTACAGGAAGCTGGATATCTTGAGCTTAAACAATCAGGTATTAGTACTTCTGTGTTAATCATCTTGTACATGCAGTTTTGTGTTCCTAAATTGTTTGATATGCTAGAATTTTGTTGTCTCAGCATCTTTTTATGAGACTATACTATATTTATATGTGATCTGGAGGCAATGTTTTTATCAGTCCAGAGTTTTCTCTGGACTACAGTAAAAGTTTGAATTCTGACATCACTTGTTTTTAACACACCATCTACATCATGAGATACCTTGTTCTCTTTTGCATGTTTGATGTTTGTACTTTGTACAAAATATTTTACATGACCAATTAAAGAGAGATCGGGATCAAACTAAAGAATCTAAATATACGAAACATTTTCTACCTAGAGAAAAGAATGTTCGAGAAAAGAATGTTCTCCTCACACTGTTAGTTTCCATTGTCTTCACGTCCAAGTGGAAACTCTTACTAGTGGAGTGCCCTTCCATTCCAAAACCATCTCATGTTTTCTATGTCCTTCGATCTTCACCTTGTATGCATTTTCTATTTCGTTCACAATCTGCTTAGCTTCGATTATGCTTTCTTCACTCAGTTTTTGACCCTCCAATCCGGTCTCTGATTGAAGATCAGAATTTTCCATCAATTTCTCCGAGTCTAGAAACCAATGGAGGGAACTCATATAAGGTGCCAGAAAAAGACTCTCCATGGCTGTTCTGGCATCTGCTAGATGAGCTGGGAAACTCTGTTCTAATGATTCGAATAGGGCTTGGTAATGCTTCAATAGTTTGTCCAAGAATGAACTGAAACTAGAAGAAGCTTGTGAACAAAATTCTGTTTCTCCATAACCAAGAGTCACCATTCCTGCGGAGGCTCTGTAATTGGTTAGTATTTCCTTGGCTACCTGTAGAAACCTAGCGGCATGACTTCTTTGCCTCATTCTAGCCATGTGCGGAAGCCTAAACATGCAGTTGAACACTAACCACTCTCTGCCTCGTCCTCTTTTCTTTGTCCTGGTTATTTCACTTGCTAGATCTGAAACACTCTTTTGGTCAATTTGTAGGTTCAGACCAAGTTCTGTTGCATGATCTTGGAGCCGTTGTTTCGTTTCCTCAATATCCCAACAAAGAGAACTGCATTCATCATCTGATTTTATCATTGTAAATTTTAGTGCCTTGTGCATTCGACTTATGGCTTCAATGACTGGAGGCCATTGTATCCCTTCTTCAATATCAAAATCAACTATGTGAATTGTTTCTGCATCATCTGGCAGAGCTTCTAGAATTGCTGAGTTGGCAATAAAATGAGCTAATCTCCCATACGGGAGACCTTGGTAGAATGCCTTGAACGCTGCTCTATAATTCCTGAGTGATTCTTGTCTCAGGTATTCGCCTTGATTTTGTTTCAACTGGAATAAATAGAAGGATACCCTTTCCATTGTCTTTCCGAGGGGATCACTCTTCTCCTCTATAGAGTTTACAATCACCCGGGCAAGCTCCTGCTGTTTATTCTCTGTGGCCTCTCCATAAGCCTTTATTAGGTGACGGAGACTCGTTTCATTGTCCATTTCCATGTCTCCTGGCAACGTATTTGACCCGTTCATCATTGGAAATACCACTGGATCCTCACTGGATTCCAGTGAAAAACAAGGACTGTATTCTTCTCCATACATAGGGACCAGAGTCGAATAATTTCCTTTGTAATCACTTTCATTGATCCATCCACAGATGTCCGTAATTTGTTCCCTTGAAATAGTTGCCAAGCCCTCCATGGGTGAAGGGATGAAAATATCATCGCTCAAATTTGGAAGATCAAATAACTCATCAGAAAACATGGTTGAAACATTTGAGTTTGTAGAAATAATGGAGGATTCTTCAGGTGAAGTGAGTGAAAAAGAAAAATCTAGATTATCCCACATGAGAAAATCCATCTGTGGATCATGAAGTCTTGATTGATCAAGATTTGAGCATGGGATGTCAAAGGTTTCCCAGAAGGGTAGAATTTTCTCTGATTGCATCATTTTCTTGATTGTACTTGAAGATGAGCAGGTGCTTGAGTTCTAAAGTCTGGTTATCATTTATATATATCAATTCGGGGATAGATTTTGACACAAACAATAAAATATAAATGGAAAGACTTGTCTATTGGTGCTCTTTTTAATAAGAATTTTATTCTGGTGAAATTCCAGGACAAGTCCTCTTTCCTTCATGAAGTCTTCTTGGATGTTTACATGCCAAATATAATATTAATATTTAATCAATAATTATCAATATCTTGTGATTAGTAGTCTACTTGGGACCCACAGGTCTTCTTCATGGTTAAGGATTAATATGTTGTTAATCATCTGTGGACACATAAGTCTTCCTAATTCCCCATAATAACAGCCTTGTTTGATAGAGAATGTTGATATTAATTTTGTGTTAGGTATCAATTCCGTCAGTTCTCTTTAAAAAATTACTCTAGGACAAATAGAGGAAGTCAAAATTCTTATCTATTTTTTTTTCTTTGAAGTCTATATTGGTGATTATCAGGGACAAGTACAAATGAGGAGTAAACTTCTGTTATTACCTAACTTTACTTGTAGTATACAAATTTAAAACTCTTCTTTGAGCTTTTCTATATTAATAGAATTCTCCCATATCGTGACACGTTTTTACCTTTTCGTAATACCTAACATGCAAAGGTTGATGTAAAATCATTATGTTGATGGTAGCCTCTGGAGTGTTATAATATTAGTACCTTTTTTCTTATCCTTATTTATATATATCCTCTTTATTTCATGTATGATCGCATCGCTAATATCATAATTTATGTTGATGGGATGATCTTCCATGGGTATAGTGGCTGATGATTACTAAATACAGTTAGAATATAATCTGAAATTGATTAGAAGAGAGAATTTTTGGCTATTGAGAATCAACCCTAAAAAAAGAGTTTTGACTCTGATACCGTGTAAGAGAAGACCAGCTAATCAACCCCATATTTCATGAATTGTGATTGGAAATATAATTTATTTTATGGAATGGTAATCGATCCTCTGTAATCAAGAGACGATCTTTCAAAAGTATCTAACTCTCCCAATATCTTTTCGGTACTTTTGTGAGAATTGGTTAATTTATAGGCTTGAATGGTAGGATTAATAATATGATGACTTTGCTTTTTGAAGTGATGCATATAGTCTAAGCTCTTGTTCATGCTATGATTATATGGATAATGTAATGATTCTACCGCTATGTCCAAGTCATTAATTTGCATATTGTTTGCTATAGGAGCACCTAGCCCATCTTACTCATCATAGCTTTCTGTCTTGTCTCCAAGATACGAATCCATGATATTTTCTTTAAGAGAGACTTAAGTTAAATCTTGGTAAGGGGTAAAATGTGCTAGGCTTTCCCATAGCGAACAATACGTAAATTAATATTTGGGTATAGAGGTCGGGTCATTACCGATAATCTTTTAAGTGGTTAATTATTGTTAGTTAAGGTTCTTCATATATTTCTAATGAGGGGTCTAATCAGATAACATTGAAGAAAACAAGTCTGATGAAGATTCCCAAATATATTTCTTGTTATCTTCTTATGCATTGCCATTGCATTGAGGCTTTTGTTAATCATTCGATCATTATTCCACTTGTAATCAAATGAATATAATAATCAAAAAGATATA